TTCAACTGTCATAGATTTAGTACAGAACCTGTCTCTTATACACATCTAGATGTGTATAAGAGACAGGCGGATACCCTACGCGGTTTTATTTACACGATCTTTTGTTACTTTTTTCGCCAGTGACGTCACGATTAAATCGTATATAATGACCTATAACTCCATAAGAAATTGCCAAAAAGCGATTTTAAGGTTGATTATATTATAAATGGCATATCAAAATTCCCCTCTAGTACAAAAAATCATTTTGCTAGTTCTCTTTTAAGATCATGCAAATTTATACCGATTTCAAATTTTACAACTCAATGTATGAAAATTCTAATAGATTTTATAATTATACATCATGATATGTATACATCTTTCTCATAGTTAAAAAAAAAATCACTGATATTAAATTTCGAACTTTATCTTTGCAGATATGTTTGTCATTTGAAAAGGTTATTGCACACCAACATTTTTAAGAAGTTACCTACAGTAAGCGAGCAAAAATCACCATGTTTAGCTAACAAGCTTATACACCCCCCTTTCTTTTATTTCCAGCATTTTAGTTGCTATGGTAAGGTAAAAAAACTGTTTCTTAGAAAAAATCTAAATATTCAAGATCTTGGATAAATTATGATTCAAAAACACATTTTTTTGGTCTTTTACATATCACTACTATTTAATTCAAAGTTAGTTTTTGAATAAATTTTGAAACTGTATTTAAATCTACACCTGACATTTGGTCCAATTTAGGATGTAACGTCGAAGAAATTTATGGTGTACTGGTATTTGAAACATGTGAATACGATTGCCATCCAAAACCAGGGTCCTGGGTTCAAATCTTTTCACCATATTGTTTCACAACTACAAATTCACTCCCTAAGCCTCAACATGAGTTTACATAGAGCACATTTCAAACCAATTAATCAGTTCAGTCCCATAGCCAGGTTCTTACAAGTGGGAGGGGGGGATTGTCAGGGCATAGAATCTAGGATCAAAGCCCTAGTAGAGTCAGCTAAGCCCTTGAAATCATAGGATATTTGTGTTTTATGGGGTCTAATTAATGCTACAAAAAACCAGTTAAGTTTGAGAAAGGACTGCAGCAAAACAGTCTTCAGTGCATTAGTTTAGTTTGAGGACTCGTTCAGGAGATTTGGGGGCGGGGGAGGAGTTTTGACAGAAAACAGGGGGGATTTGCTAGAGAAGGGGGAGTTTGCCAAACCATAACCCTCACCCATGGGCCTGCATTTTATAATGCCCATAATATATAATAATGGTATTGGTCCTATGGTTATGTGGCACCTTCCTTAATCAATATTGTTTCAGAACAGTAAACACTACTATCCTTATGCACCAGACCAGTAAAATGTCCTTTGTGTTTGTACCACAAGAAGGTTATAACCTTTTGTAAGTGCAGAATTATCAATAGCAAATTATGTACTTATCCATACACTTGAATAATAAATTAAAATGACTTTAATGGTATTAATTTGTTATACCAAAAACACTGTTATTATTCAAAATATAATTTAATATTCCTTTTATATTAATATCTAAATTAATTTTGAGAGATAATTTGCATCACTGCATCAGTAATATATGGTGATACAGTACCAATTTTCGTAAACATAATTATATTCTACAACAATGTTCTATTTTCAGTGCTATAAATAAATTCCTGAATGTGCCTGAATACAGAGTTAAAATACTGAATCGCACCATGAAAATCAGCTTTACCAAAGGGGTCAGCCTCCCCAAATATTGTCAGTGTGTCCAAATATGGTCACTCTGTCCAAATATGGTGAATATATATATGAATCTAGTTGGCAGATTGTCCTAAAATGTTGAGAGACAGCAAACTTTATCTACTTGAAAAAAAAATCACTTATCACTTTACTATATGATTTTCAAGCTCCTGCATTAAAATATGTGATGCCATTTGCAAATATGCAAGAGAAATTACATTAAGAATTTAAAACTTGATTTATATATCTAATTTATATAATAACTTTTTTCTTTAGGGTCTTACAATAGTTTTTTCTACTGTCATAGATTTAGTACAGAACAAATCAATCACATCTAACCAATAAGATGTTAACAAGCTTCTAATGTTTTAATTCCTAGAATGGATACGATATTATCGGTTTTATCGGTAAGCTTATTCTTTTTTGGAGGCTCAAGCAAAAACAAGAAGAAGCCACCTGACCTTGTTTTAAAGATAATTCTTGACAGAAAAGCATTACAAATAAATATGGCACCCACAAGTTGAAATTAACAACATAAAGATTAAAGCCAGAAAAAATTATGGACCCTTGTCTATTTGACTGTTAAATAAAGCCCCTGTTGTTTAGGTGATTGTCTACCAATCCTAGAGGGCCAACATCAAGTGAAACTCCCAAAAGTTTTTCTCACAACTAAACATAACTAAATAAATATTATGAAATAAAAGTCTTGACATACTTAAATTATTTAAAACCCTTTGCATTCTCTTACAAATAGTTGTGATAGAGATACTCGTCTTTACAATCACAGGGTCAAAATTCTGAGAAAATCTATGAATTTTTTTCATGACTTAATACAACTAAATAAATAAAAATGAAATGAAAAATATTTACTAACACACTGAAATTATATAAACCCTATGTACTCTCACACAACAGTTAAGAATATTTTACTTTGACTGACGCAACACTTGCCCATGGGGCCTGGAACCCTGCCTTGTTGGTGGGTAGTACCATTATTTCTAGGGTATGCTGCTCCGACTTCTGAGGGACTAGCAAATGGCATATACGGAATTGCTTAGAATGGGATCGTCCAACGAACACCGGCTCGTACACGGACAGCTCCATGTTCTCATTTGGACTGCGCGTCACGCCTTTGACAAATACGTCAAAGTGAGAGGCGCTGATGGCGTACTTCCACTTGATTGTGATGCAAATCGACACGAGTCCTTCGAATGATTTTGGAGAGATGATCGGAGGAGACCATGTGATGTCCTGACAGGTCAAATCTGTGACCTGAGTTGTAGATTCCTTCAACTCAGCAGGGTCCAATATCTACAACACAATTGAGATCACTTGCTGGATTAATAAGATGTTTGGTTATTTGTACACAATTTTATCAGACATTACTGTTTCACATGAAATCACTTCATTCATTGTACATACTATCAATCTGTAAATGACAGCTATAATACAGTACCGTATATGCCTATATATGGGCATAATAATGTCATCTCACACATATATGGGCATGATAAAGTCATATCACACACATATATTGGCATGATAATGTCATATCCCATATATTCTATACATATATATATCCCATTTGCCATATATGGGCATGATGGCACCATATCACATACATATATAGGCATAATGAAGTCACATCACGCATAAAATTATTATTAATGGCTTCTAAAAGTAAACATATCTTTCCAGGCCTTTGATTTAAAACTAAATATATTTCTCCAGGCCTTTGAGAAACTTTGCTAGACTTGCCACAAGTCTCAAATTTATTGGTTTTTCCTAGTGTTAGACACTTTCAAAGAGCGCCACCAATGTCTGGTTATAAAGAAACTTTTTATATGTTATTGAATTTGGATACACAAAATTAAACCAAGAAAAAGTATACTATGGAACACAATAAAAATAACTGATATGGAATGCCATTGGTGCCAAAATAGATTTATTTTTCAGCATTTTCACTGATTAGGAAAAAGTTTAGGGATGGGAACCCAATCTATGATCTTTGAGTGTTTAGCTTGGTTTTCAGACCATTGGAGATGTACTCCAAATGGTGCCATATTTAATCCAACTTCTTTACTGTAAACCAGTCTTACATACCTTTTGCTTGAATATGCTTTCCTGGTTTTAATTACTACATGTTATAAAACACAAGATATTAGATATTCACTCCAAATTCCACTGAAAACAATCTGAGGAAAACTGGAATGGGTCTTAAGCTTTACTTGGTGGCATACCTTTATTTGACCTAGGAGAACATTGTAAATAACAGGGACGTCTAAGCTTGAACATTTCAAACCAATTTCAGTAATCTTTGGTGCACAGTCAAAAGCAGTCTTACTCAGTAAATAATACCTAAAAAAAAAACATAAAAATCATCGATTCTAAATAACTAAAAATGGGTTGATGTGACAATGTGTTGAATTGTGATCAAGTGTAGTTTTATATTTTGTACACTTTAAGTATCTTTTTAATATTTGAATATAGAATTATCTTTTATTCGCCTTAAACAAATTCTGCTGATAAAATTTGCAATAAAGAAACTTCTTGTAAAGAAATTTTCAATAGAGTTTGTTGTGTTTGCGTCATTCAGTTATTTAAGTATGTAAATAATATATATCTAAACACAGAATTATCTTGTTACGACTTAAATAAATATTCCAAAAACTGAAAGTATAATACATAATCAAAGTATTGAAATGCACTCCATCATGTTGGGATTCAATACTTTAAAATTTGGAATATTTTCGACCATGTTGAAATATTGAATACTAACATTCCAATACTTGGAATATGTATTATACTTTTTTAAACAAATTTCTGTTGATAACATTTGCAATAAACAAATTTCTATGAAATTTGCAATAAATTGTGTTTGTTTCTTTCAGGTATTCATGCTTACCTGGTCACCCATCCATTACTTTCGGGAATGTTGCCAGACATTTCCTTCAATACAGTAAGACTAGCGCCCCCCAGAGGTGCGAAAACAGCAGCTGGCATATCGGCAAGTTTCTCAGACTCATGGAGTCCATAGTCCGTTACATTTTGCTTCTCTGCTTTTGATATATCTAAAATTTTAAAAAATATTTTAAAAATTAAGCCATATTTGCATTTAAATATTCAGTAGGTTTATAAAACTCTGTTTACACTATTAAATTTCCTTTGAAAATAACTGTTGTATGCCCATATATAGTCATGATGTGCCTATAAATGGTCATGATGTGATGTCATCATGACCATACTTAGTCATGACACATGATTTTGACAAGTAAAATTTGATAGTCTGGCAATATTTTGCACATGTGTGGTAAAGTATGATCATAAATACATTCTGTGAAAAAATACAGCAAATTGCGCAGTATTGCCAAACATTCAGATTTAACCGACTTGCTCTGTCAGCTTTTGAATTTTCTATTAGGAAAACAGTGGCAGGTCCAGGAATTTGAATAGAGGGATCCAAGGACGGTCTTTCACAGATGGAGAGATAGATCACCTCTACCCCACCGTGATTATGGCACCTTCATATGGCTAGATATGTCTCAGAAAATTTAAAATAATTTTTCTCCATTTTTTTTCTTTAACTTAAAAAAAAAAATAAGGGGGAAGGGGTGACAGGTTGGCAGCTCTCCCCTCACTTGAATCCGCCCATGTAAAAACAGCCTGGATATCTTCAAGGGCAAAGTCCACTTGGTTAAACTTGCCACATATCCTCAGTAGTATGACAAAGGAGAAAGTTACAAAGGATGGTCACACCAGTGGCGTCGAGAGGGGGGATTCAGAGGGGTCGCTGCCCCGGGGCCCTTACTGGCTCTCGACGCCACTGGTTCACACTAGATATTTTTGGCCAAAGAGACCAGGTATACGGTTAGTTAGACAAACATTAAGTCAATGTGACCACGGCTTAAGTCTCACATGGGATGACTTCAGAGATCCCAAGTTTGAAAACCAAAAAATAGGGAGATTTTTTTCATGAAGCGATCGCCTCCTGTAGCGACACACTGTTACGCCTTACAACGCGCTGTGCAACATGAAAGTATTACACAGAATGAAGAAAACAAACAATTTTCATCAATTTGTTTACTTTTATTTAACAATTTTACGTTTGTTTACACATTGCAGTTGGCCTAAAATATAAATTTATAAATATTATTATTTAGCATTTTGCTAGTAAAGCGTTCTTGGCAGCAGTCAACAAGGCTTTGCTTGGTTCATTGGCATGTTAGAGGCTATGGCTGATTTATTACATCTCATCAAAGAACATAGAATTCTAGCAAGGTAACTGCAACTTGCAAGATTCACACGTTTGCCGAAAAATTAAAAAATATATATATATTTTAATTTAGTTAGTAGTTTAGCCTATAATAACATAATGCCATGAAAAAACATTAAAACCTGCCTCGCTAGGCTCCATCTATACGTGCGTAACTAGCCCTAAGGCCGCAGAGTCACGACCACCACTACACACAGACGCCCACACAACACAACACCATACAGCAGTACATACCCTACAGTGCAGATAGAGCCTAGGCCTAAGCCCTACATGTATTTCGGGATCGATATTAAAATAAACTTCATTTTTCGGAAGACTGCTTAGTACCAAAACCTACTAACTATAATTTTGTTAGTATTGTTATTAAAGAACTGAAGCTTACTTGAAAGAAAAAGTATTTTTTATGCACCGATTCTGTTCCAAATCTTCGCGGCGAAAAATTGGGCCCCATCCATGTGATTTCTGATTTCGTTAATTTGTTGAAATTTATTTACTCAACTGACAGCCATCTCATTGAATGAGGTCGGCGCTGGATGCAAAAGATCGTAACATGGAAGATAAACAAGGCAGTTCTACCACGCCTGCCTTGCCCTGGAGTTGTTATTTTGATAAACAACTTAAATAACAACTCCCTGGCCTTGTTTATGACATTTTATGGCTGAGCGAGCGCCATAGTATATTGGCTTAAGATAAGAATTTTTGTTTCATTGCTCTATGACATCGTGGAAATCACATTTTTCGTGAAATTTTCGGGATATTTTTAAAAATCGGGAGATATTAATAAAAATCGGGAGGGCGGGAGACGGCCTCAAAAATCGGGAGAACCCGCGATTTTCGGGAGAATTGGGATCTCTGTGACTTATACACACCTGAAACAGATAACATACCTTCAGTATCTGTGAGTACAATCTGTCCATCTGGTTCAGCTGTCTGTAAATACAACTCTATTTTCATTTGACTTGATGTTTTTACAGAGTAGGCAATCAATAAGAAGTCTTTCCATTCAATACCTGTCTGCAAAACCCTGGAAAAAAACAGTTGAACAGTCTTTGTAATACTTCCTTTAATATCAATCAATCAATCAATCAATCAAATAATTTACATAGCACAGAATCCATAAAACAAATTTTCAAATAGCAAGGTATTAGGTTTCCTCATAAAAATGTTGACTGATTGGGACATCACATCATGTGGAAATGAGTGCAGCGAATGAAAATGCCCCACGTAATATTTTTTAGCAAGGTATAACTAAAGATTTTATTGTTTAAAATGAAATATTTTTACATTATTATTATCATATAAATGAGTATACATATTAAAAGTCATTTCATGACCATACAATTCACAGTAAAAAAGAAAAATAATAAATTGACATACTTTTTAGCCATAATTCACCATACAAAAGTGTAACAAGATAAAAATGTCTAAAATTGGATGTACTCATTATTTCTATAAGAAATATATTGGAAACTAGTAGGATAAAACACTAGAAAGAAAAAAATAACCCTCTTTATTAAAAAAAAATATGCATGTAGAAGTGAGTGCAGCGCATGAGAATGCTCTTTTTTCAAAGACTCCAATCTGCATCTTGGTAAATAGAAAAATCGTTTCTTTTATAAACAAAGAGTTTGGGATGTAGTAACAAAATCTGAAAGGTATGGTGGTGCAAGATTGTTGAAAGATCACTTGTCTATATTGTTACATGTTAACCTTTTTCATATATTTGTTCATTCTTCATTCATTCTCTGTATTATAAATTTTTGTCCATTCTTTAATCACAAATAGATTCTGCCTATTTCATCATTAATATTTCCTCCTAATAAATAAGTTTTATCATAAAAAAAAATTTGGGCTCCTTCCTTTTTAAAACTAAAAATACACTGCCAAAAAAAACAAAAAAAAAAAACCCATGACAAGTTTGCCCTTCAATTTCTTAACATAAATTTTACTTACTTGAATATGTGCGTTTTCCCAGCCTCTAAACTACCATCAAAGGACAAGCAACCACCACCGCTGTAACCGTCAGTTACCAGCCGATCCATCTTCTGTTTAGCCCCATCTTCAAACTGTTTGTTACTGAATGATGGCTGGATTTGCTGAGCACTCAAGTTGCACCACTTTTTCGTCATTACTTTCTTCATTGAAACACAAGTAAAAAAATACAGAATTTACCAATATATAATTGCTGAATTTGTTCTGATGATAAATAAATAATATCTAATTTTTTTCATTCATTAATTGTAAAACATAACAATTTTAAAATACTTTATTCCCTCCTATAGTGAGTGGATAGTTACTACCAGTGAACATAATGGAAATGAAACAAAGCAGACATTGTCAAAACATGTGACATGCCTAAACATGGTCAAGACATCACATTATAATAAATAATAATAATAATTTGCGATTTTTAGAGCAACTCCCATTGAGTCAACTTTGAGGCACTTAAACCATTATAATTATATATGACCATATATAGGCACATCATATATATACACATTATGATAATATATAGTAAAATAAAATGAAAATCATTGACACAATGATGACATTGTTAGCATTCATACAAGTCTTAATTCAAGTAATTCTTACCTTTCCATTGCTGAAGCCATGAACTCCATATCCTTGGCAGAAATTAGAACATAATGGGAGAGACACAACACCATGGGAATGTAGGTAAGACTCTATTAAAGACCAGAACCTGCAACAGCGGAAACAAACAATAATATATAGCAAAAAAATTCATTGAAACACTAACATCAAATCATTATTATCATTATCAGTCATGAATGCGATTATTAATTGTATTAAAAGCATTTTTTTTTTTAATGCCAAATTTCCACGAAAGTATAAATTTACCTGTTTTCATTGGGTATGAACTTAGTTGCTCCATGTTTTTCAAACACCCAGCCTGGAGCAAAGATCGCTGCAGATAAATCAACCTTCCTGATCACTTCCATAGCCTACGGAATAAAACAATTTTGGAAGAGTGTGATTATTGATCTGTGAATCACGAAATGCTGGGAAGAAAGTGACAGCAGACTTGCCGGCTAAGGCTGGCCACTCAATGCGTCATACTTCGGACGATGAATCCAACCTCGCTAACTGCGAGCATTAGATAACGGGACGTTGACATGATGTTGTCTACTGAGAGACATGGGGTCCCTGTTTCAAATTTATTGGTTATGTTTATGAGGCTCAATGTTTTTTGTAATTTCATCTGTATTGTTGGATTGGATTGGATTTATTCGGTGTAAACACCAAGGATAGCCCACGAAAGTCTAGAAGAAGACTTATTTCCAGTGGGGTCCTTCTGATGGTGACTGGGCAGTACACCAGGAGACAATCCCCTCCTCTTTTCCGAAGAGTGTACTGCGTTGTTTAACATGCACATGGGCCATAATGCACACGGGACCAACGGCTTAAAC